CTATCTGCGCTAGTCGTCCCTAATTTAGCAGTGTAAGACTAGAGGGAAGGCAGCTAGTCATCACCACCCACCGCCAACTCTTGGGTTACTCTTTTACCAACGAATAGTGAGATTGACCGTCACATTATAACGCCCACACGGCTGAAAGGGCGAAATCAAATTAGTGCAAGTTACATAAACCTAATGTGCACGGGGTCAGCCTATTGGATAGACCCTGTATTGAAGAATGAATGTGGATCATGACTCCAAATTGACTATGTGTATCTACAAGAGGTATAGCAAAATGTACAAGTTTATTGTACATAAATAATCAAATGTGTTACAAAAGTACTCGTACTAAAGATATGTGTGGGTGTGAATTGACGACATCAGTTGGATTCAAACTATGACAAGCCGGATGAAGTTTTCTGTGAAAAATAAACATACTTGTCTCCATCCGATAGTTTGTATATTACATTTGCATAATCTATAGAATCTTCAAAATGAAAATGTTTATCTACAACTTGTTTTAAGTACCTCTATATATTGTAGCTGGTACTTACTCTCCTTTTCGACGAACTGATCAAAATCAGTTGCAGTTCCTAATTTTAGAGGGATAGACAAGACAAAAGGCAGCTAGTCAACACCACACACACCGCCAACTCTGAGCTACTCTTTGTAAAAAAAATACTGGGATTGACTATCACCTTATAACGCTGCCATGGCTGAAAGAGCGAGTATGTTCGGTGATAGAATTCGAATCCACTACTCACAGATTGAAGAAGAATATTTTATATGTGTTTACATACATTAATGAAAGGTTAAATTTGTTTTCATGACCCTCTAGAGAACCAGTTAAGAAACACCATTGCAGAAAAAATTTAACAAAATAAGGACCTTGGGAAACTAGGAAACTCTATTCTTGAATGCTTACCGTGTCATTTGTTTACGTGTAGAAAAAATATTTCATATACATTTCTTTACGAGTTGCTTATTAGATGAACGTGTTAAACAAGACGAATGAAAGGATGTCAACTTATTAGACGAACGTGTGAACAAGACTAATAAAAGAGTGTCAACTTATTAGACGAACGTGTTAAACAAGACTAATGAAAGGATGTCAACTTATTAGACATTAGTCTTGTTCAGCAAGTTCGTCTAATAAGTTGACATCCTTTTATTAGTTTTGTTCAACACGTTCGTCTAATAAGTTGACATCCTTTCAATAGTCTTGTTCAACACGTTCGAAAAGGGTGTCAACTTATTAGACGAACGTCTTGAACAAGACTAATAAAAGGATGTCAACTTATTAGACAAACGTGTTGAACAAGACTAATAAAAGGATGTCAACTTATTAGATGAACTTGCTGAACAAGAATAATGAAAGGATAATAACGTTTTTTGACTGTAGATATAAACAATTCAAAGCACATTTAATCATTTTAGCAAAAAAAAAGAAAGAAAACATTTTTGTTTTTAATTCAGTTTATACATCTGTCTCTTCGCATATACCAGAAAACAATCATAGAGTAACACTGATTTGAATCATTAAGTACGTGCAGAGACATAAGAAGAAGAATAGATTGTGGTCATATTCAGATATTTGAGATACTGAACACATAATAATCACACTATACTTTATTCAGAGATGTGTTATAGTTGTATTTCACAAATGTATTATTCCAACATTTAAATAAATTGTAACTAAGTTTGCAATATTTTGAAGTTACTTTTATGAAAAACTAATAAATATACATTTATACAAAGATAACTTATTAATTCATGATGCAAAATAGTTAAATTGTAAGCAGATTCATATATTACTGCAAATTATTTCGAACTCCGTTTTATAGGTTTTCAATATAGGAACTTTGTTAGTTCTTCCAGTATATTATTAGAGGACTAGTTCAAAAGGTAATGTGCCGTTAATCCTCAAGACTTCTGGATGCGTGTATCTAACATATGGCTAGTATACCTATAACACAAATATGCATGTTGATTAATACGTAGCAAAAAAATAATCTCTTTAGTTACTCTTACCAAAGAATAGTGGGAGTGATCATCACATTATAACGCCACCATGGTTGAAAGGGCGAGCATGTTCAGTGACGAGATTCGAACTCGTTTCCCGCAAGTTGAACTATTCTGTCATTTACTTGTCGTTACCGAAAACTAATTAATTAGAGTTCATCTATAAAAATGTACAAGTTTATTTTTAATGCAATAACGAATTGTATACTGTGATTAGGCGTACTTAAGAGGAAACTGTCTTTAAATGATTAACAACTGTATTCAGTAAATGAAGTTAATATTAAATGAATTTAAGCTTTAAATGGTCATATCTCATAGCGTATCGTGTTTCTATGATTCTTGGTGCCCTTTATGTTATCTCTTTTAGATAATTTTCATCCAGTTTTCAATGTTTAATCTGTAGATTTAAGAAATTAATCATTTTGATAATTGCCTTTTTTAAAAACAAATTATAACCTTTGGTTTTCAGAAGTGCTTATATATTTTTGGTTATCACTAACTTCTCCAAGAATATCTTTAAATATTCAATTTATCCTTGTGCATTATTCTAAATACTGAGAACTACTTGTGCTAATAATCAAGAAGTTCAGCTATGGATTTTTGTCAGCGAAGATGGTTTTTCATTTATATTGAGTCTTTAATATTCATTTGAAAATTGAAATATATTGCTCATAAATTTGGGATTGTAGATATTCATGTAAGAAAACTACTTTGAAATTATGATTCATTTCCTTCAGTTCGTCTCTTGCAATTTTGAATTAATAAGCACCATAAGAAATATTATACTTGAGAAAACTAACCAGAATTCAAAGCTTGTCTGCAAAAAACAGCCTTATTTTATTTTAGAATTTCAATTGCAGTTACAACTTAGTGTAGTAAAGATATCAGTTTTATTATATTAATGTCGACTCCCATAACTTTATCTAAACATCTATACTACTCACGTGCTATTAATAATCTCCATATTAGACTCCAATAATTCATATATTTGGTGATTGCTACACACATTCCGTGTCAATAATATGGTGACCCAAACATGACATGCTATTATGAAGACACATGAACAACAAGACGACACATAAACACCTTTTCAACGTTGCATTTACTGTCAACAAGCTTTTGAAAGTGACATTACATAATCTCAAAGATTATTAGCAGGTTATATTGTGCAAATAAAGAAAACAATAAAATAAAGGGTTATTCAAGAAATACATGCTTGGAAAAAAATTATAATGATATTATAATGATAATTGATGTTTAACGATTTAATTAGCAGTATCTTTTCTACAAAAGTTTCACAAAAATCGTAGTTTCTCATGTGATTAATGATCTCGACTGGGTATCATATTCGTTACCTTTCTAAATGTCAATTAAATAAATTACCTTTGTCTAACAGAGTACTAGTCTTTTATTTTTCAAAATCCCTTGAGAGCTTCGTTTTAAATTTAATATATAAAAATGGAAATTCTAGGCAACTACATTGTGATGATCTTCGAAATTACTCTCACAAACTTGAAAACTTAAGTGAAAACAAACATGTCTTTCATATACGACCATCCAATTACTAGTCTCTAACGTTTTCACCAGTTCTACATTAAGTTAACACCGTCACGTGTGGAGACTGCTATCCAGTGGTATAAGCAGAATGTTGTAGACTGCATGTACTACAAGAAAAATATTGCCCTCCCCTCCACTCAGGTGAATTATATACATCTTAAGATGTAGTAAAAGAGAAGTGTATAGTAAAGGAATCTAAAATTCACAAACTCGCATACTGTAATATATTATACAGAGAATATGAGCCATCGAAACATTTCTCACACACAAAGTGTTCACATACCAAATTCCCTACATAAAAGCTCACTACTTTAATAAAAACAGTAAATACGAAAAATAGTTTGAATAATATGACAGGCATTGTCAGCTTGAAGTTAAAGTCATAGAAAATAGAGTATACAAAAAGTTCTAGTGAACTAAATAATGATCAAATTTTATGAGACGAAATATACGTTTTTGTTTGTAATAATCATAAAGAAAAACTTTTCATTCAATCTAAAGTTAAGTAAGTTAGTTAAAATAATAGTAATGCCACAGTTGTTTTGTTTTGCGCGATATGGTGCTCTGTGTTTCTCCCTTTTTTATAGGCAAATGCATAACTACTCCTATCGAGATTCTCGAGGACGTCATTCGTGTCCAAAGGTCCTGCAGAGCTCAAAAAGTTAAGACAACTACTTTATACGACACTACTCTAGACGACGCTACATTTTTGCAGAGCTCAAAATGTTAAGGATCATTTCGTTAGAAAACGTTATATCTTTGCAGAGTTCAAAAGTTTAAGGATCACTACGTTAAACAAAGCTACATCCCTACAGAGCTCAGAAGGTTAAGGACCATTATTTTAGACAACACTACGTTCTTGCAGTACTCCAAAAGTTAAGAAATAGTGCCTTAGACGATACGTCTCACTAAATATCTCACCGTATGATACTCAAAGTTAACTTATTCACACTCAACCATTTATCTTCCATGTTTAATTTTATCACTCAAGTGATGTCTATAGTTCCTTAACGATTTTAAACATGTTTTTCAGTGAAAAGATCATTTGAGAGCCAATGATAAACCAGACTCTAATGGTTCTTATTTGTCAGGGGATATTTGCAGTATTAGTACCTTAGAACGTTTAGCAGAAAGTAGAAAACTCACTTGAATAACTGACACTAGGTTATTTTGTCTGTGGCTATTTTTTGTTACAGATTTGGCAATTTGTTAGAAGAATTATTCAACCAAGAGAAATTAGACCACCTTTCAGCCGAGAGTGAGTAATTTCGCAGCACAGTAATACAGAATATAATATTCAAATGAGAAACTCATCCTTTCATTTTGGTACCGGTTTTTATCGTTTTATCACAAAGAAGACATTGGCGTGAAAAATTATTTTATTTCTCAATCTTCTACTTTCTATCAAAAACTCATCAAAAAATAGCTAGAACTTACCAGTGAGTTTATATCGCATTTCTTGAAGTCTTCCTGAAAATCGATTGTAGTAATCTGTGATATTATTGCCCCTATCTGTTAATAATCCTCACTACAATCTGAGAAAGATAACGAATTAATAAAAACATATACGAGGTAGGGAGCAGAACTAGTATACTGTAGGTTCTTTTGCTTAGCTGCCACATGCACATTTTAACTTCTTGCTTCTTATTCATATGGATATATGTTTGATAATCCAAAAGACCTAAATGTTAAAGAAATCAAATAACGAATGTTCGAAAGTCTCGGTTGGTGTGTTTAAGAATTATATGTAGAAGAAGCAACCAAAGAGACGGCAATAACAACTCATAGCTTATTGTATGAGACCGCAAACAAACAAATGTAATAAAATTGCCAATTAGAAGAAACAATACTACAAAATGAAATGGCTAAACACTTACACAGAACTTCACATATTTATTTTAATTTAGAAAAACATGTACAATACATACAAGTTTAAGGAACTTGTCAAATCCAGCCACAGCTTTGAAGTCCATGGCATGTTTAATTTGATCCACAGCTTGACTAACTTGATAAGCATCATTATTTTGCTAGCCAAACCAATCACATTTATGAGAAAGTGATTAGTCAAATCTATAACCTCACATGACTAAAGGGCCGACAACCTCACAAGGTCAAGATGAATGAGAAAACAGAAAGAGTTTGAATTGGCAATAAGTAGAAGGGTGACATCAATAAAGGCCATGCTCGCAGGTAGGCAATAATGAATCTTCTGATCAAAATAGAAGTAAAATAAAATACAATAACTTTGTGTTAAATTTAAATTTATGTAATTCTGGAAAGACAGAGACTATGATACATAATACGACAGACATAAATAATTCTGACAAATCCTTATATAACTCTAAACCAATTTACTAATGAGCTTTGCTGGAACATTTAGTGCTTCACTTATTAATCAAGCACTCGATCAAAAGTTTAGGTGCATTTTCAACAGTGTAGGCGCTGTAGAGATTTTTTATAACTTATTTAGAATTTAGGTAGTTAAAACAACTAAGTTAAAGTTTCTCATGCACTGAGTTGTAGTTATATATTCAACACAAAGTAGTTAAGACGGAGCTGCGTATCAAAGAATGAAATTTTCATTCAGTGATCCAATGATGTTACCTTTTATGTTTCACCAGAACAACCTAACACAGTTAATTGATTTTTAAGCGCAAAGTTACTCAATGGGTTATCTGTTCTATGCCCATCGCAGGTATCGAACTCCTATTTTTAACGTCAAAAGCCTTCAAGCTTACAGTTGAGCAACTGTGGGCATCTAATAAGGTAAAGGAATAAATAAAACACAACAGTGTATGCAATGTCAAAAACTTATGCATAGATCAATTCAATAACAATGAAAATATATACATTACGAAACAATCGGAATACAAAACCAGAGAAGCGAAAATATTTAGAGGTGAAATATAAATTTAATAATAATTTCGGAAAGATAAAAATACAAACTAAAGTTGAGAGCAAATCATGAAAATCTCTATTGTGACCTTGTCTTTTTGTGTTTGAACTATTTATTTTAATAAAAAATCAATAATATTCTATTACAAACAAGCTGCTGAGCAAGTAAAATGTTGAATGAGGTTAAATTTGAATGTTGTTTCGCTCAGAAAGCTAGAGGTAACATGAGAGGTGTTTTGTGCTTCGGGTAATGAGTATTTATTTGGGGAAGTCAGTTTAATTAACATATTTGTAGAATACAAATCAATGCTCTAAAACTGAACACAAATAACGTGTTTGAATAGCTCTTTGTGATACTTTAAATGAAGTAATACATTACTAAATGACATATTTATGTCAATGTTATAATAACATGCAGACAAAATTGCTCAAAATATGGCAAAAGGAAAGAACGTATAAATTACCTAACTACTTTAAAAGTAGGCGGAACCTAGAACTACATGGAGATTATCGTCTTGCGGATCCCATCATACATTACAACAATGATTTAAGGTAGCTAACGTTAGGTGTAATTGTTGTAAAGTCATGTGCGTGAGGACACTGAAAATCAATATCTCCACACAATGCGCTTTCTTTTGTCATGTCACTGAAGCTGTAACTCACGTTATACCTTAATATACGTAAAAGAGAAACACATTCAAGATAGTAATGCATGGGGTTACATCATGACATCGGAAATATTTATCTTGCTATTCATAGTTACTTGTGACGTTTTCAATGCAAACTTAAATGTAAATAGACAATTCCATAAATTAATTATTCATGGATTTGTGGCGATGCATATTTAACTTATACGCTGTCATAAAGGCAATTAATTATATTGCTTCTTAATAAAAACGTAATATGCTAAAACCCTACATTTTCGGTTCAAAAGTAATTACATCGTCAAATGAATAAACAGTTTTATACAGAAACTACTTACACATCCATCTTTATATATATGTGTATGTCTTTTACTTCTCAGATAATAATTTTGCCACTGAAAACTTACCTTTTTAATTTTTCATAATTTTCTTTTAAAGACTGTAGACATGGTAGTGCAGACTACTTTCTTGTTTACCCGAAAGGGGACCAAAGGCCGCCTGTAGGAATCATTTTTTTAAACCACTCACACCACTATACAGTAGTATGTTGTCTGTCAGTCAGTCAGTAGACACTAAAATGACGTCACATAACGTTGCAATTTGTACTACTGTGACGTCAGTAAAACGTGCGCATGCCATGGATAACCAGAAGAATTATGTATTCTCTAGGCTGCAACACATCATGACATATGAACTTCAAAAGCAAGAAATAAAAATATGTGTTACTCTTAATTTTGGTTTTATTTACTCTTGAAACAGAACACTTTCGGGCACCTTGTGGAAGTACATCTAGTATTGCTTTAGGTTTAAGTTAATACATAATTTTACAAAATAAAAGTAAAAACAAAATACGCTTGAGTAAAGGTTTGTTTGTTTCATATTTTTTGTGTAAAGCTACACAAAACTGTATTTGCACATAATCACATTTAATTCGATCTGATATATTAGAGAGAAAGAAGCTATTCATTAGCACCCACTACTCTTGGCTTATCATATAGTGTCATTCTTAAAGTATACCCACGACCCCACAGTGAGGAGCTCGTTCTTGCAGCTTACAAAATTCACGTTATTCGCTTATTTTGATTAAAAATTTGTTCAGGATAAAAATATCTAACCTGTTAACGTACCATATTTATTCACAAAATTTTATAATTATTCCCAAGATTTTATGTTGGTAAAGGTAATTTTTCATCAAATTTATTGGCGTACTGTTTCATATCCTAAGAAACTGCACTTCATAGTTCGACTACGGTGATTCGCTCTCCTCAAGGATAATAATTTCATAATTGCTGCATGTATATCACCTCTTAAGGTTGTAGTTTAGTTACATCATGTACATAGAGACGAAAAGAAGAAAATGAAATAGTCTCATCCTACACGTTAAGTCACGTGAAACTGTAAATATTAGTTAATGTTATTAATCAACAAGAAAAAATGTATAGTTATTAGGACTAGTAGTGTGGTTCTGAAAGTTTTATGTATAGGTATTAGGACTAGTAGTGTGGTTCTGAAAGTTTTATGTATAGGTATTAGGACTAGTAGTGTAGTTCTGAAAGTTTTATGTATAGTTATTAGGACTAGTAGTGTGGTTCTGAAAGTTTTATGTATAGTTATTAAGACTAGTA